AACAATATGGTTCGGAGGATGACCTTGAGATACATATCTATGGAACTTTATTATCGGGTTGTTAATGAAGTTGAGAAGGTTTCGCCCAAGTTTGCATCAAGGATTCAAACAAATAATGGCCGATGTATATTTATCGCCCTAAGCACATTCAAAGTGATTGATGGTGTTGACATCGTCCTTAGAACCAACATTGTACAAGTTATTTTTTGGCACGCTAGCTTTACCGAAAACAGGAGGGCATGTGTTCATGCTCGAAAATGGCGTGATCACAAAGAGTGATTTGAGGCTGTAACAAGATGAGGTTAAAATTACGACTTCATGTCACCATTGGATATTTTCAAGATGACCGAAATTGAACATATAAATGATAAAGGGGGTGCTAGGCAGGCTTGCTGCATCCACGTCCTCGTTATGAATAGTGCAAAGCAGCTAGCGAGCGAGCGCAAAAAACTAGCGAGAGATAGATGCTTGCAGCCACCGCACGCTCCCCCCCCCCTCCGCACCATCCACTTCATCCCTCCTCGCGCGCCTCCTCTCATCTCCGCCTCCTCTCCAGCTGCCGCCGCCACGCCAGGGCCTCGCCTCGCCCTGCAGTTCCTCGCGCGCCACCTCTCATCTCCGCTTCCTCTCCTGCTCCCGCCGCCGCGACAGGGCCTCGCCTCGCCCTCACCACCCATCGATGACCTCCCAGCCCTTGTTCTCCGCTTCATCACCCTGGCAACCTTGAGCTCGAGCCGAGGAGCGGTCCATGCCGCGTGGTGGCCCAGATGTGGCCGCCTAGTGCTCTGCCTCGACGAGCGCGGCCTCGGTCTGGCCTCGGCAGGAGGAGCTCGAGCCGAGGAGTGCGGCCTCGATCCGGAGTCGGTAGGAGGTGAGCAGCAGCCGATCTCTCTCTCTCTCCCTCTCTCTCGTGCAGCTACCACTGACCCCCCCCCCCATCCTAGTGCAACGCCGGAGTTCAGCGGCATGGGAGGAGAGGATCGACAACGGCACAGCAGAGGAGCCCGCTGCTGGTCGGCCCAACGCATCTACTCCGCTCCGGCCTCCTCTGTTGTGGGCCTTGAGGGCAAGTTGCACCATTGTTGGCGGTGAGTTCTGAAGCTCTTTTTAGTTCCCCCAATCTAGATTTCTAATTAATTTCATTCTAAAGTGTGCAAATGGTTGTGACTTATCAGGGAGGACAATATTCGCTTGAAGGCCCAGAATATTTAACTGGTAGGATCGCATATTTCTATGATTCATCCATCTCTCTAATTCTTACCTTACAGATCAACCCTATCTATCTCCCTGCAATGATGCCTCTAATTTTAGTTAGCTAATAATGATGCTATATGGGATTTTTTTTGTATTGAAGCAACTGTGTACATAATGAACCATATATTACTAATCCAGTGATTTCTGCTCATTACTAATCTAATGTGTTGTTTACTTGTTATAGACACTGCTGCATTTGTTGTCCATTTTGCCATCGTGAGCTTCAGGTAACTACTTCATGTGCAAATATGCCAATGGATAACATCATCAGGACTAACAAGTTCCTGTGTGCTGCTGCTCTTACTATCTACCTGGTAGGCTGGTCTGAACGCGCTATTGATGGCCTTTTCCTCTGGAGTACCAAGAAAAATAGCAGGTAACAAAATTTCTCTTTTTGTGACTTCTTAAATGTTTGTTTCTTGAATGAGTCCACTCATTTGGTATTTCGCTATGCTATTGAAAGTTCTGTGATGCTTACTGTCTAGCTGATTTTTTTTGTAAATCAATAGTTAAGAAGATGTTGATTATATTTAGTTTGCATGCCAGTAAAGGTTGTATGTTAAGTGGTAAAAAAGCAGTAACATACTAATTAGATTATTTTATATTTGTATCTGTTTTGCCTTTTATCTTCCTACAATAGTCAGTTGTTTTTGGCACTCTGTGCAAGTGGTACATCATCGATAGGCATTGGATCGCTGTTTTTTTATTTCAACGATTTTTGTTTCGGCTACCCAACTTTTGTCTTGATGGTTGTCTAAGATGAGTTTCACTTCTTTGTTCAGATCATCCCTGTAGTAGAAGCCATGCAAGCTTCATGTAAAATGGTTTTGAATCGAAACCGAAGCCATCTGTTGGAAGTAACATCTGAAGGGACTGAACCTGTATGCCACTCCCAGTAATATAGAGTGAAGGCAATAACAACATTGTTTGTTGTTGGTTTATAATGGGTGAGTTCCTACTCCTTGGATTCACTTGTTTATCGCCTGCACACCTTGGCTAGGATATGTTGTTTCTTAATATTACCGGCAAGTCTAAATCTTTTAATTATTTGTACAATATTTTTAATTATAGGAGTATTGGCCATCGTTTATTCTTGGTATGCACATCAAATTTTCAGATATTCTTAATTGTGGATGTACCTTTAGGCTTTCGTGAAATAGATATGCATCATATATTGATGCCTGTCCTAAGCAGCAGATCATTACTATAGTTTATGTAGTGTCAAAACATTACATTATGCGCCTTCTTTTAAGTTTTCACATAAAGCTAGGGTGTTCCTCTGTTTAGAGAGTTTGGATAGAAGGAAATACTGAACCGCTTCAGTTTATTGTGTCGATATGATCTTTTAACATTGTTTCTCAACTGTGTTCAATCTGGCTTATCAATAAAATATACTCACTGTCATGCGTTCTGCCTTGATCCGTTGGCTACGCTTATTTGGTTGGGTTAGTGCAGGTAACTGGCCAAGCTACTTGGCTCACTTTCGTTGCCTTTTGCAGTTCCTTCTGTGGGATGTTGTTGTCATTGTGGGCCTTAATGCTCGGAGGAGGGTCAGGGGCATTTCCTGCATGGGAAGAGGGGCATCTGTGGGGGTATTGGCCAGAAGTAGGTAAGGTAAAAAAAACTAGGTTCTATCTCTGCTACATCTGATCAGGCAACTAAATTTGGTCCCTTTACTCATTTCTTGTTCACTTACTGTATGTGAAGCGATACAATTTTATTTCCATTACTGCATCTTAATATGTTTTATCGATTGGTGAATGCGCAACTTTAGCTCATAAACTAGATGGCAAATGCTAATTCTGATGGAGCTTTTGCCACTTGTTGTTTTATGGTTGTCTAGACAGCTGATGGCATGGTTCTTTCTTGCTAATTGTCAATTCTTTTGTACAGGGTCCCTCAGCTACTTATGCTTTGTTAGACAATGAGGGTATGTAGATAGCATGTATGGTTTTTACATTGTTTTGCGCAGGTTGAGATGCATCACATGATGTTTTCCTTTTACATTTATGGGTATTACAGAGTCCTTTCCTTTTCCACAAGGGGCAGTAGTTGTGCCATTCGATTCGAAGGACAAAGAGTTGATCACAAAGGGGTAGCATTCAGGATATATACACAAAAGAGTATAGAACCAAATTATATGATGTAATTAACCACTATTTCTATCAACTTCTCCTGTCACAATGTTGACGAGTTCATGTATTAAGTACATTTTATTGTGTCACTTGTGTTTACTCTTTTTTTAATGCAAGTTTACAGCTACTCGGAATTCCTAATTGCAGACTCAACTATCTTTGACCTACCGATGATCTAATTTGTGGCATTATTACATTAAGAAAATATTTGCATTTAATTTCCTTTATATATAGGGGCACAAGTTCTTACCAAATGTATTCAAATATACAGTTATTGAAAAAATTGAAATATTTTCAACACGAACATGGTTTTAAACGGGTCTTTGCGCCATTTAGCACAACTGGTCATCTAGTAGATATAAAGATGGTCCAAAACGGAGCTCAGATGCAAAAGGTATAACGATTTTAGAGATACCGGTGTTGACATCAGATTATAAAATGGCATGAAACATAATGAAAATGGCCTTGGATGGAAAAAGTTTCAACATGAAAGTTCTTCGTCTTGTCAAAATGGACGATTTTAATATAAAAATCGTTCCCATCCAAGATCGTATGTGAAAATTACAACCGAAACTGTGTGCCGCAGCATTGCCGGATCGGATCATCCGGCCGAAGGCAAAATAAACGACCCAAACAACAAAAGCTAAAAGGTGAAGTCGGATGATCTGGGTGTAGACCCGGATGATCCGGGTAAAGGCCATCCGGGCAAGGATCCACACGTTTGGACAACTTTTTTCTGCTGCAGATGTTAGAAAACAGCTCGAAACACCCTCAAGGTGACTTCAAATTGAAAAGTGATCGACAACAAAGTTGTGTGTCTTGTCGAAACGGTTGATTTTGATATAAAAATTATCTTAATCCGAGTTCGTATGTAAAAGTTACAGCCTGAATAGTGACCTACTATCAAAAAACTGGGCTTGGCCGGATCATCCGGGCCGAAGGTCGTGAGAAGTCCGAATTTGGTTAGATTTTGCGGATTTTGACGGCAAGGCAAGTCCTTTTCTTGTACGAGAAGTCCATCCGCCTGTTATATAGACAAGAGGTGACGACTGATTAAACAACACACAATCGAACAAATCAATCTATCATCTTTTACCTTTACCTTTATCTCTCCCTTTTTCTTTTTCTTCCTCGTTCTTCGTGAAGGAGGGCAATGATCCACGAGGCCCTAGGGGCGAACATGTCAACCTAGGGCAGCCCATAGCCGCCGCACGCCCTGACGGGGTCTCTCCCGAGCGTGTGGGGTTTCAGGTTAGAAAAGCGTCCATCGGACTACTTGCGTGTCGTGCTTTCGGCCGGGTCTCCTTCAACGTGAGCTGCAGTGCATCACCCCCGACGTCGAGGTTACACGGTGACAGTGTTCGCGTGCGAACATAGCCCATATAGCTACAGATATCTATTTGACAAATCGCAGAAGACATGAGCCATGCATGAAATCTTATCGTGGAGAGCATTTCAGTACACATAGATGATTTCATCCTGATACGAACTAGGATCCATGTTCCTATGTTAGATAAGCTTTGTAATGTGGACAGATATCACCACGCATCGTGACTAAAAAATACTATAAACTATACTTCATCTATCCTTGTCTACGTACAATACTGTCAATCACTGGTCTTCGGCAAGTACAGAAGAGGAATTGTGGGGGGGGGCACTAGAAGAACATCTGCTTGAACTGCTGTCTTCAATAAGAGTACTACCATTAATTAACTTTATGCATTGCTTCTTCATTTTCAAGTCAGAAGAGGAATCCTGTAATAGCCAGAAGTGACTTTTAGAAAACTATGTGTTTTTGCTCTTTTACCTAATTTACACAAAAAGGGTAAAACCGAAAAAGAATCTATATGTAGGACTCTATTTTCTGTAGAAATTCAACGAATCAATTATTTGAACTGCCACAAAAGATTTCACTAATTGTGTATGGTGAAACTGAGTAATGGTTGGCTCTTACCTTGTTAGTGATCTCTGAATGTGAAGGAGCTGAGGAACCAGGAGTTTTTAGTTCCAAGTCAGTTGCAACATCACCAAAATCATCATTTCTCCCTCCACAGCTTGCTTGCTGAAGTGAAGGTGACTTGCTTCTACAGCCTTGTGCAGGAGAGTGAGATCGATTACTACTTGAAAGCAGAACTGGAGTACTGAACTGGCTAGATGGTTGATCACTAGGAGCATGACAGGATTGACTGTATGCCATGTAAGGAGTACATGGATTCGAGATGGCTCCTGAAGTTTGATTTTGGAAGAACGGGCATGGCTGAAGCTGTGGATGCATAGTTACAGCACCAGCGGGTATAGGAACTTGGAGCGAGAAGGGATATGATGGAGGTGGCCCAACGAGTACAGAAGGCTCCATTGTAGTGCACAGGTATAACATTTGAATACGTTGCTGATAGTGGTTGTTCAAATTATCCACATCAGACTTCAGCGAAGCTTTTTCACTCCGAAGCTCATTTTTTTCTTTAGTCAACTACAATAACCAGAAAAAAAAGGGCAAATTAGAAGTTGAACTTTTATGCGGCTGATATGCTTCATAGGTTACCTCACATTCTTCTTCAAAGAGAGAAGAGTATTCAGCTTTAAGCTTGTTTACTTGAGAAGTCAAATCCTTGAGCATCTGAACTGTATCACCAAGAATAGTAGCCTTATCATGCCTGGGCCGATCTGGGTCTGTATATTTGAACATGTCGCAAACATGAGATCATGTGAAAAACACAGCACCCCCATCCCCACGAACACGCAGAAAGAAAGCAAACGCTTCGGTAATTGTAATCAAATAGATGCAAGGAGCCCTTGCAAAAAAAAAAATCAAGAAAACGTAAGAGCTTTGTGTCTCAATGAAGGGCAACAGCCAGGATTACAACACAACACCCTACGAGCTAGATTCTGAAGGAATTGTTGAGTATAAGGATTATTAGGAAGTATAGAATAGACTAGGATTACAACACAACACCCTGCCTTGTTTTGTACTTCAAGTTGGTTTTTGTACTTCTATATATATGCCTACGAGGCTCAAGCAATACAACAACTATTCCACAAAACCCCTCTCTCCCTTCTAATTAACATGGTATCATCCTAATCGATTCAAACCCTAGCCGCCGCCCGACGCTTCCGCTCCGTGCCGCCCCGAGGCGGTCGGCCTCCATGACCGCCGCCAGGGGTAGCGCCGCCCGTACCTAGGGTTCGTCTGCCGGTCATGTTGACCAGCTGTCCTAGAGAGTCTTTTTCCCGATCTCTTGATCCGGGTTTTTTCTCTCTCGCCAGTCACCTTGATCGGCGTTTTCTTTTTTGGTTTTCTGATCTATATTTGATCGTTTGTGTCGCTCATCGTCGTCGTCAACCCCTATGCGCCTCTACTCCGACTTTGGCGTCGACTCCGTCGGCCTGTTCAATGACACGACGGGCTTTGCGTGACCCGCGACGGACTGTTAAGGTCGTCGTCCGCGCATCCGCGCGTCGGTCTGCCTATCGTTCTCCGTCGTACGTCGTCGCCTCGTTCGGATCAGGAAACCTACATCGACTCCACTGGATCTTGCAGCGCATGACAGTACATGATGTGCTGGTTCGGCGGCCACTTGGGCAGTTGTACGCTCGTGGTTCTACGGCCGCCCTCCGTGCAACAGGACTACATTGCTCTGCTCCAGGAAGCTTCACGTGACACCTAGTTAGCATGTCTACAACATGCACGTACATGTGCAAAATCAATTAATCAAAAGCTCGTTTTTCGTCTGCGGCCGGCGGGCCAACTTCGGTACTGCCATTCTATCCTCGCGCCTGACGATTCACGTCATCTTCATCGCATATCCGGTATGATCAAGTGCATATGTGCCTTCATCCGCGTCGCGCGACCGACTTGATCAGTCGTTGCACGGGCCTTCATCGGTTCCTGTGAAGATCCTATCTGAGTATGCGCGCCTTTTCATCGATCAAGCATCACGCTGCTGCTGTGTCGCCCTGTCGGGCCGCAGCGCCGCCGCCCCGTGGTTTTTCTTCCGGCTGCACCGACCCGCGTCATCGTTGTGTCGTCCCTTCGGGCCGTAGTGCCGGGGCCCGTGGTCCACCGCCGCCCCAAGGCCGTCCGCTGCAGGTCGTCCGGTGGCTGCACCGATCCTCGTGCCGCCGCTGCGTCGCCCCATCGGGCCGTAGCGAACGTGGCACGCGGTCCACACCGCCATCCTGAGTCATTCCCACGGTAGCACCGACCCGGATTCCGTTGTTGCGTCGCCCCTTCGGGCCGCAGCGTCGCGCTCCGTGGTCCCCGCCGCCGTCCCGAGGTCTTCCGACATCACCCTGGCCTGCCCGCCGCCACTGCGTCGCCCCTTCGGGCCGTAGCACCGCGGCCCGCGGTCCACTCCGCCGTCCCTACGCGTTTACTTCACGTGGTATGCGCAGCGCCGCCTCCCTTGGCCTGGGAACGCCACTGTCCGCGCCGGTCTTCGTCATGTTGTCGGGTTCTTTGTCTCCTTCGAGCATCGCCGCTGCGCTCCTAACCTAGCCGCCGCTGCCGCCATCAGGCTGCCGCCGCTCCTCTTCGGCCGCTGCCGCTGCTACCCCCGTAGCCGCCGCAGCCGCCCGTCCACCCCGTTCGTCTTCGTCCAACACCAGCCCATCACCAGCGTCGTCGTCATCTACCCCGACCACTTCTTCTACTCCGACAACCGCGGGCGACATCGGCCCCGCGCCGATTGGCACCGCAAGCGTTGTCAAGTCCTTCTCTACTGGCTTGTCGACTTCTTTGACATGCCGTACAGCTTGTGCAGGTCCCAATCTACGCATGCCCGGTGCTGGCAACACCGAAGCGTGCCTTCGTCCACAACGTGTCCCCGGGCCTGACAAGTCTGGGCGCTTCGTCAACTTTGTCTTCGTTCGTCTACGCATGCCCGGTGCTGGCAACGCCGACGCTTGCCTTCGTCTACGACGTGTCCCCGGGTTTGGCAAACCCAGCGCGACGCCTCGTCAACATCATCTTCTTCCCGGCGCACCACTACATCGACACTACTGCGTCCATGACTAACTCGGCGCCTCCTTGTGCCTGCGGCTTCACGGCGACTTCCTTAACACCGGCTACCCTGACTCAACATCGACCATGGCATTCTTCGCACGGCTACCTCGACCACGGCTCCACCACCCACACTCTCGGCTACATCGACAAACGGCACAAAGGGCTACCGCCTGCTTGAGCAACCTCGTCGGTTTGCACTCCAGCCACGACTCCGCGATGTA